GGTTTTATGGGTTTAGGGTCTTCGGGTTTAAACCCAAAGGGTCCATAAACAGCTACCATTATGGAATTAGGCACCCCAAAACCATTACTAGGATGGTCTCTTGGCGCCGAATTCCACTATCGTAGTGTATATAGGCCCTGTTCAAGTTTTTCGGCCACCAGTCAACCTCCCCGTCCGCATGCGGTTGGATGCGTGCTAACATTGTAATGGAGAGCTTCCTGCAGATCGCTCCTCCGCACGACTCTACGTGGATTCGTAATTTCGGATCCCCAGATCCGATTTGGGGGGGCAAAAAGTTTGGGTTTCAGGCTGGTTGCATCACAGGGGCTTAACAAATTACCAATACTCTTTTGGGGCGGTTCCTAAAGATAGTGCAATATTCACCAAAACCCTTGTGATTTTTGAGGCCCCTAGAGGGTTGCGACGGCTTCGTCGTTGAGACGCCCCGCCGTTTCATGTTTGAGGCAACCAGGCCTACTACCATGCGAAGACGAAGCGGCTGACAACCGAGCACCCAGTCATCTTCAAGTGCGCCTCCTTCTGTGTCTACATTGAAGTATATGTACGTCGCCCCTCCGGAGATTATGTTGTAGGGTAGCAGCGAGTACTTTTACCTTCTTGCCGTACGCCTTTCTGGAGTGTGATGCAGCGCCTTGTCATTCAAGAAACCAAGACAACTTCTTTCCCTGTCTTGATGTCAGGCCTTAAAGAAAACCGCCACACAGCTGCAAGCAATGGTGAGTGTGCATACTTGCATATGGGCACGATGCGGAGCCTGCTTTGGTTGAGTGTCGCGTTTCGAAATTTTAGTAGCAGCTGCGATAATGCAGTTAAATGTCGAGAAGGTTCAGTAGCAACTGCAGCAACCACCGCACTAACTCCGAAACCACAAACCCTAAACCTTGCGGGATGCAGGTACAAGCAGTTTGTCGACAAGGCCGGCGGCTGTAGGGATTTCGTAAAGTTGGCTGATTAAGTACTTGGGGTGGTGCTGCGGCAACCCTAAACCCAAGTCTCATCATCATCCCTCTGCTGCTAAATCCTAACGCAAGCTCTAAACTTCTAAACCCTAGACCATGCACCCAAGAACTCCTTTTCCTCGAACGCTCCAGCCCATGAACCGTAGAGCACTAGCCCCTTCCAGACTTATGAAGCGCTAAGCCACCAAAAACCTAAGGCCTTACATCCTCAACAGATAGCCTTTGTCAGAGCCCTCATCGCGCCCATTACAGAAACCGAAGCACTTACTCACTCTTATGTTAGGGACCCATAAAGGACATGAGCATAAGCATTCGGTGGGGGTATCCCTACCTCATTGGGCTTCATTGTAAGGGGGTTTCTATGGCATATCCCTATCCTCATGTTTGCTTATGTTGTTTTTTGGGTCCCTACCAAGGGCCCGAAGTACCTATAGTAGAATGGAGGGTTTCTATATTAGGAAGTACTAGTGGGGAGGTATTCCCCATAACAGTACCTACCCAGAGGCTCCATAGTAGTTCCTTTTTGGCATTACCTTATCTAAACTCGCAATATGCACCCCAAAAAAGGAACTGCTATGGAGCCTTAGGTTTTGTGGCTTTTGGGGGTCCCTATTATGAGTTCTAGTAGAATGTAGGGTTCTATAGTAGGAATTATAAGTACTACTAAAATTGGGAAAGTATTCCCCATAGAAGTACCTAGGACAATTTGGGTTGTAAGTGCCTGAAGTGCCTGGAGCGGGAAGATGGCCCTAGGTGCGCAAGTTCCAGGAGCGCATGGGCACCATCGGGAGGAAGGCCTGTTGCATTCTGTGGATCTTTACCCATAGGCTCCATAGTAGTTCCTTCTTGGGATTACCTTATTGGGTTCTAAACATGAACCCCAAAAGGAACTACTATCAGTCTTTACCTGTCGTCTCCTTAAGCTTTCTAATTTTTGCTCATAAAAACCCAAGAACTTTAAAGAAAAAAACATCATTTTTATTATGGTTCTAAGCGGGGTATAGAAATGATTACCTATACTATTTTTGGGGGGTTCCTTGTTATAGTTACATATAGTATAATATTGTATGCTTACATGCCGACATGGAGGTTTTGGGGGTATTCATGGGCGGTTTGAACATGTTTGCGTGTTTTTTTTGTTCAGGGTTTCTGTGTGCTGCCGGCCAGGATGCCTAACCATTGATACTATGGGAGCTAAGGAGCCAGGGATGATGATAACCCCTATCAAATACGGAGCTAAAGAGCCAAGGGAACCCCAAAAACCACTGGTTAGTTAGAGTACCCAGAGACTCCAACATCCCTTAATTAAGGAATAGACCTTAAAATATATTAAGGATCCTACTATAATTTAAGGTATATATTCCTGGTTAGATGCATTAGCTTGTGCAGCTAAAGCTCCGGATTCGGGTCTGCCTGGTCGCGTCATTGATCCTCAGGGGCTGGTCCGATACCCTTGCCTTGCCCAAAGGGTCCAAAGTACCTATATATATATATATATATATATATATATATATATAGTACAATGTAGGGTTTCTATATTAGGAATTACTACTAACAGTACCTAGGGCCCATTGGGTTGAGAAAGAACGGAAGCCAACACCGAAAAAGCCGAACTCCCAAAGCGCCCAAAGCCTGGAGCCCTAAACGTACCAAAGCCCTCAACCCTAAACCGAAACGCGAAGCCCCTATCGGGCCTTAATTCTGCGTGAAATTGTCTGATTGTAGTACGGACCCTTCATTAAAAAAAAACCCTTAACGATCCAAGTCAGTTGAACTCATGTACCCACACAACACACTTGACCCTCATAACTACGTACCATCCTACGCTCAAGATTACCAATGCAACAGTGGGTAGCGAGAGCCGAAGGAGGGTCCTTTGTGCCTGTAAAGCCCTGAACCCTTACCCTAAAACCCTAAACCTCAACCTCTCTACCCCACAACCCTAAATCCTAAACCCTAAACCCTGTTCTACGCCTAAGCCCTAGACCCTAAACTTTTTTTTTAAAAAAAAAGAAAAACCAAAAAACCTGCCTCTGAACCCTAAACCCATGGAGTTCCCTGCAGGTGAAGCCCCACCTGGCGGTGATCATGAACGAGGTCCTGTGAGGATCCCAGAGCTCCCAAGGGACTCCACCTGGCTTAGGGTTTCAGGGCTTAGGGTTTTAGGGTTTAGGGCTTAGGTTTTAGGGTTTAGGGTTTTGGTTTCAGGGCTTAGGGTTTTAGGGTTCCTGTGAGGATCCCAGCTCCCGAGGGGTTTCGGGTCTGTTCCTTTAGGGGATTGGGGCTTTAGGGTTTAGGGTTTAGGGATTAGGGATTAGGGCTTTAGGGTTTAGGGATTAGGGTTTAGGGTTTAGGGTTTAGGGATTAGGGCTTTAGGGGGAGGATCCCAGCTCCCGAGGGGTTTGGGGATTCTTTTGTCAGGGATTAGGGTTTGGGGGTTTAGGGTTTGTGGGTTTAGGGGTTGTGGGTTTAGGGTTTAGGGTTTTAGGGTCTATAGGGTTTATGGGTTACAGGGGTTTAGGGTTTAGGGTTTTAGGGTTTGGGTTTCAGGCTGGTTTTAGGGCTTCAGGGTTTATGGGTTTACCATAATCCCGTCCATTTCTGTCCCCGTCAGGCTTTCTTTAAGGGTGCTTTTTGTTTACAAGGGTTTGTATAGGGTCTGTGTGTCTGATAGGGTTGAACTGTCTTTTAGACTAGGGTTCTGTTATGGTGTTGTATTCAAAAGGAGTGTCTTGTAAGGGCTGCTCTAGGGCATTGCATAGGTACAGTATTGGTTTTGCAGGGTATCCTCGTAAGGGAATTTAGGTCTTCGGTGCTCGACGCTGGTATAGTACGGATTATAACACAGATCCTTCTACTTGATGGGTTTTTCTAGACAAACCTAGTACGGATTATAACACAGATCCTAGTGCTAAGCCCCGCAGACAGGGGGTTTATGGCACACACACACGCACAACCCGAAGTCTGCACCTCGAGCCAAGCCCAGGAACCGCATTTACCGCGAGCTGCCACCGGTGACCCCAGAGATCATCGAGCGCCACCCGGCTGAGGAAATTTGTCGGGGTTTATGGTTCCCTTAAAGGGTACTATGCAGGCTGTCACCTTCGCAGATCAAGCCCCGAAGCAGAGGCTCAAAAGCACCTTCGAAAGCATCCCCTCTAGTCTCAGGATACTTTACCCAAAACCTATTCCAATCAAGGCCCTTATCCTGACTGAGAAGTGTTGGACTCTCTAGGTTTAGGGTCTCGTGTCAATGTTAATATTTAGGGTCCACTTCATTGAACCCCATAGTTTCCACAATCTTATAGACCTATGGTTCCGTACTATGAGTTCCTCGCCATTGTCGTCAAAAGTTGGGGTTTAGGGTTTTGGGTTCAAGGCAACACGTGGCCCAAAGAACCCTGCCCATACCCTACCCCAAGTATCTTGGGAACTGGCCACAAAACCCTACTCTACTTATAAGACACCCGTGTTAGACCCGAAACCCAAAGACCCAGACCCTAAACCCTAAATCTTTGGGTTTATAGAGTTTAGGGCCCTAAACCCTAAACCCTAAAATCCTAAACCCAAAACCTAAAGACCTGAAGGCCCCAAGAGAGTTCGGCCAGTTTTTCCGAGGCCTCGCTGTGCTCATGTACATCGACACCACCCACGAGTGCCTAAGCTCATTTCTCGGGTTGAATGTTTGGGGTTTAAGATTTAGGGTTTAGGGTTTAGCATGGGCTCACGTAAAGGAGTAGGGGACTGTAAGTAGAAGTAGAGTTTAATGGTCGAAGGGAAGGCTTGAGTAAGAAAGTAATTCGGTTTAGCATAGTAGCACTTCGGTCAGCGTTTCGGGAAGTGCATGGCTGGCTACCAGGTCATGTAGGGATCGTAATGCGTATTCATAGTACAGTATATTTTTCTTTGCCCCTCAGAACCATAGCCCCTATCTTTTCACCTATGGTATACTCTGCGCCGATATCTTAGTTGCAGCCTGAGAGGGCGAGCTTCGCCTTGTGGGTTTCGTCTTCTACAGCAATGCAGATCCTGGTGTTCGCACAATTTGACCAATGGCTTCTTGAGGCATGTTGCTCTGAATTTCCGGACTTCCTCTGGCCGACCTAGCGCGTTTAGGAATCAAAGCCCGGCCCTGTCGGTTGGTCTATGTGTAGCCCCAGGCCCCACAACAGAGTAGGTTAGGACCTCATAGGTAGAAGGGACAGCCCTCAAACGAGTAGGTTGTTGGAGCCGCAGGTGTCCACACCACTATAGACACTCATCTCATCAATTGAGGGGGTAAGTACCTGCCACCTGACGAGCAATATCTGAGGATGGGCTAAGGGATCTAAGTGGATAGTCTAACCTCATTCAGTGAATCCAGAAGTTCCATGTCCCTCATCATCAGCAGCAGTGTCAGACCACAGCAGCAGCACTACCATCGCCAACCTCATCTCCACGATGAGTTGGGCCCTAGGGATTCTAGGGTTCTAGGGGTCTTCGCACTCTAAGAACCCTAAACTCTACACCCCAAAACCCCTAAACCCTAAGTGTTCGGTTTCTCTCAGGGTTTAGGCTTTACTCTTCGGAGCTCCAGGGTGGATCGTCCTTGATGCTGGCCTTGTCTTAAGGGCCCGATTACATAATCAGGGGCTCCGTGTGAGGGCTATAGAAGTGCTTCATGGTTCTATGATGAGAGCTCTAGGGCCGCAAGGGCTCCAGAGGATGGGCTTCGGGCTCCAAGTAACGTAACCATATACTTCCCTGAGGCCTGAGTTACAGTGTTACTATCCTAAACCCTAAACCCCTAAACCCTAAACCCTAAACCTCAATAGCTGATTGTTGGGTCGCTTGGAGCCTTCGAGTTTTGTATGTGGCCCACACGGTTTAGGGTTTAGGGTTTAGGGGAAATGCTGTCCAAAATAGGAGTTCACGGCCCTTGACAGTAATAGTCGGTAGGTTTGGGAGGTATACTAGAGTGCAGTTGCACAGGGACTGTTTAAGGGATGTACTCGGCAGTTGAAGTAAAGATGAAGCCCCTGCATTACATCCCAATCCTTGCCGCTAAAGTTTTCAAGAACACACACACACACACACCAAGGGTCCAAGTAGTCCTTATCCATGGTCTTTGACAGCTAAAACGGCCCTAAAGTCCTATAACTGGGAGTGCTTGGACCCTTTGCGACAGGCATGACACAACACGGCGGCTGAAGATTGCCATCGAGTCTTATGCCGAGGCGCTTGGGATCCTAAACCCTGAGCCTGGCTAGGGTTTAGGGGTTTGGGGGTTAGGGGTTTAGGGTTTAGGGTTTAGGGTTTAGGGTTTAAGGTTTAGGGTTTAGGGTTTAGGGTTTAGGGGTTTAGGGGTTTACGGTTTTGGGGTTCGGGGGTTTAGAGTTTAGGGGTTAGGTTAAGCTGGCCTAGGGTTGGCATAGAGGTCGAAGTAGTCAAGTCGTGCTAACCCGTTATGGTCCATATCTACGTCTGTACGACCGGTTATCAAAACGTAACTCTGGTCGCTAAGGCCCCTAGATAGGCCGCAGAGATCGAGGGAGGGTCTCCTTGGGTAAGCTGCTGTGGCACTCCAAGGGAAGGAGTATCCAAGCATGCCTCTAGTCTCCATTGTGGTTCTTTTTGTTGGTTGCCTTGTAGGATCCTAAAATCTAAGATCGTTCATGTTCGAGAAACGAAATTGGTTAAGCCGATAAAGGCAACTACACTGAGACTACGTAGGTTCATATCGAATCAAATGCCACAGGGGATCTCGAGCTGTTTCGGGACAGTCTGAGGCACCTTCCCCGGGACCCACAGGATTTCTAAACCCGTGACCCTAAAACCTACACCCCAGGATTTGCGTTGCTGCCTACACTGTCCAACCCTTACGGTAACTTCTGTAGCAACCCGGGTAGCAAGCCTTCATGGTGCACAAATCCATAGTCCCCACACCCCTGACCACGTCCCTGGCCCCTCGTAAACTCAAAGCCCTGAAGCTTTTAAACTCTATAAGTCCTAGATTCCAACCCCCGGCTTTTACCCAGACCCTTGACCCTTAAACTTTAAGGCTTAAACCTTCAGCCCCCTTAAGCCCTACTTTGACCCTCTTGGACCTACCTTTTCAAGGACTCAAAGAAGGAAATCGTATTAAGGAGCCCCAAAAATTGAAAGGAAGGGAGCCTAAGCCCCAACCCTAAGCCCCTACTACAACCCTGAACCCCAGATCCTAAAGCTCTGTACCCCAAGCCCCACAGGACCAGTACGACATCGCGCTGCAAGCGCAACAGAAGGCTGACATGGACACCTTCCTCGTGGAGGCGCCAGTCCTGGGCTTTGAGGAGCTTAGGGTTCCTTTACAGTAGAAGCCGGAAAGTTGGAATATCATTAGCGTAGCCCCTTTAATTAAGGCAAATTATAGGGGATCCTACCATTACTCCATATTCCAACTTTCTGGAGTTCCCTTTAAAGGGATCCTGAAAGGGGACTATAAGGGATACTATAAGGGTGCTATAATATAGGGGCCTTAAGACTTTCCAATACTATTTTGTGGGTTCCGTATTATGATTAGCGTATAATGGGCCGCAAAAGCCTATATTAATTATTAAAAGGCCCCTATGTTATGGGATGCTCGGCTGCAGGGGTCTTGGAGAGTTGTCCTGCGCTTTAGCTGCTAAAGGATATTGTGCTTCCATGTCACGCGCGGTGCAGATTTGGTGATCCTCGGCGAAAACAAATCCTCAACCCTGAACCCTGCAAACCCCGCAAAAACCTGTGAAGAAACCTTAAGCCCTGCACCCAAAGAATTCTTGATAGCCAATCACTGGGCTTGTAAACCTCGAAACTTTGGGCTCTAAATGGGGGGGGGCATACTGAACAACCTTGTTCACAATCCTTAGACGCTGAGCGCAAGGCTGCAAACTCCCCCGAATATTGGAAGATACCATAACGCATATTGAGGACTCCTTGAGGACGTCCATGCTTTGAGGACCATTCGACTCTATGGAACATTATATCCGTCCTTTCGGCGAGGTTCGTGATGAGCAGATTCGCTTAGAAGTCCTCAACAAGCCGGATGCAGTCATCATGTGCCTCCTGGCCTAAGAGTCAGGTGTGGTTGTAGGGTTTATCCCATAGGCCTCAAAGTAGTTCCTTTTTGGGATTACCTGATAGGATTCTATATATGAACCCCAAAAAGGAACTACTTTGGGGCCTTAGGGCAGGGTTTAGAGTTGGGCCGCTTTCGGTCGGTAGTTCGCCGAGATCGGGTTGGATGCTTCGGAGTAGGGATCCGTCAACACCGGGTCGCAATGACGTGTAAGGATTTAGGGTCTGGGGGTTTAGGGTTTAGGGGTTTAGAGTTTAGGGTTTAGGGTTTAGGGTTCTACTCTTACCTTTGGTTAGTAGGGAATGGAGGAATGGGGTACAAGTATAACTACTCTTACTACCATTCTTCCATTCCCTACTAACCAAAGGTAAGTGAACGGCCCCCCAATAAACACTCAATCCAGGTTTTTGTTAATACTAGATGGGGATCTTTTAGCTCTGCTATCACTTCGGGGTGCTTGCTCCTGCTGGTGCTCTCGCTTCTTCCACCCAATCCCTAATGCCCAAATGGGCTCCATAAGGCGGGGATGTTCGGTGGATTTGCCGGAAAGTGTTTTTCTATTCTGAGGTGTGTTTCTTTGGTAAATGGGGGGGGGGGGCGACGAGCGATTGGTCTGGCAGGATTCCCGAGCCCAACAACATGACAAGTTGCTTGACTTTAGGGCTGTTCTGTAGAACTGCGGAGACTCTAGGTATAAAGACCCTGCTCATGGGATTTCGGGCATCGTGATACGCATGAGCCCTGATACATCTTCATAGTCGGAGAGCTGTATTCCTGAGCTACGGCGCCAGCTGGGCTCTCTGTGTGGCCTAACCCGAGAACCTCACGCCCCGAAACGGCAGAAGCCTAAATCCCCAAACCATCGAAACCTAGACCCAGTAACCCAAGCTCATCACGCAAAAGAATTTGCAGCTCCTGCAACCTGCTAGACCCGTAATCCAAAGATCTCCAAAGACCCGCTAGCTAGATTACATTTGTTTGTTAATTGTCCCTCAGCTTTTCAAATCATGAGATGCCCTGCAAAAGCCTACTTATAGCATAACCCTAGGTCTGCGGGTCCACATACGAAACTAGGTCCCAAAGACCATCTGTTTTTTGGTTTTGGTGATCTAATTCCATAAGGGAGTTTCCGAAAATTCGGGGTACCTTATTTTGGGCTCCTTACAAAAAGGATCCTACTATTTAGGGTGCTATGTTAGGGTCCCCTAATTTTCGGAACTCCCATAACAGTAGTATTGGATCTTCTGGGTAAGCAAAGGCACGGAGATCGAGGGCCAGCCGGCCAGGGTGAAGTGCAGCTCTCAGCGCGTTGTTGTTAATATAGGAACCATTAAAAAACGCTGGGCCTATAACCTCAAAACAATACATATTCTTAAAGGCCCAAGGTTTCTTAATCAGCTTCCTACATTATTGCGTTGCTTTTTGTGTTTGGGTTCGTGGGAGGTGTAGGGCTTTTGCTTCAGGCAGTTACGGTGTTCAGCGGGAGTACTTTGTGCTTGTCATGTTGTTGTGTGTTTGTTTGTTGTAGATTGTATTTTGGCGTTCAGTTCAGGATTCCAGCGGTTTTTGGACACTTGTTAGCTTAACGTCTGACTTTCTGTTTATAATTCAGGGTTTGGGCCATGGGGTTTGCGTTTAATCAGGGCTTGCTGCAAGGTTTCCAGGAGGTTTCGGACTTGTAGGGTTCTGCGAGCGTTTAGGATGTGAGCAATTGGTGCTAGTGCCCAGTTGCGAGCCTGAGAGAGAGAGAGAGAGAGAGAGAGAGAGAGAGAGAGAGCTCAAGCCCAATGGAAGGAAGGGAGGAAGAGAGCGAGGGGGACAGGTAGGCAGACCGACCGACCGACCGACAAGCAGACAGGGACATAGATAGATAGGCGGATAGGTTGCTCGATAGATAGGTATCAAAATCGTACAAGCCCGAAACTACCCTAAGCCTTGCGATAGGTCGACCCGCAAGTCGAGCATGGACATGTAGGCTTTCGCAACATTTTCGTGCAGACGAGCAATAATCCACACCAATGGGTTTGGTTAAGGGTTTAGGGTTTAGGGGTTTCGCATCAAGAAGCGGCAGCAACCCTGCTGCAGAACACCAGTCACTAGCGTCCTATCTTGTTGGGCCAAAGTCCACACCAAAAATGCGAGAATGTAAAACTGTGATAGTGTCTGCGGCCATAAGCCTTTACCTAGACCCCAAAACTAGGTAAAGCTACTGGCCTCAAACCTATGAAAAGACACTTTTTCTTCGTACTTTTGGGCAAGGGTACGAATTCTAAGAACAACGGAGCCAGGTTGGGGCTTCAGAGACGCTCGGCCAAGCATCACCCCGAAGACCTGGCTGTTTGTGTAGGGGGCCTTAATCACTAGAATAGCAGTTTGGGGCCCATTAACACTATAACCACAATAAGGAACCCCCCAAAATAGTATTGGTAAGTATTAAGGCCCAAATTAATAACACCCTTATAGTATCCCTTATAGTCCCCTTTTGAGGATTTAGGCCCCTGCATATCAAGAAATCGTAGCTCCTTGTCCCCGACAGCAGGCATCCCTGGACTCGTCAAGCGACTCCGTGGTCCCCTGAGCCCTGAGCCCCTGAGCCCTAAAACCCTAAAACCCTAAAACCCTAAGCCTCAAAGCCTAAACCTGGGCCTATAAGAACTTCCAGAGGAGCCGTGGAGATCCTTCGTATATACGTATTTTTCAAAATTATGGCCCCTTTTTTGGGGTACCCTAACTATTAGGTGCCGCATTATAATAAGGACCCAAAGGGGGATCATAATTTTGACAACCACCCCTATAAGTAAGACCTTCCCACTGCAACTTGAAAGCTGGCTCCTTCCATGAGGTGCGAGCAGTGCAAGGATTTCTTCTCGCTGGAAGGCTTCGTTGGGACCTCGGCACTGGCCTACCGCGCATCCGTCAGGATTTAGGGCTTGTCGGCTCTGGCTTTAGACTTGAGGGTGCTGGGTTTAGAGCTGGGGCTATTTCTTACATTCTGCAAACCTTTCTCGAAAGTAACCATGATATTGTGTTGCTTGGCAACACAAAATTATTTGCCTTCTGTTCAGTTTTGGGTTTCCGACCTCGGTGCAGCAGGCGTGTATGGGCCGCATGCAGAGTAGTTCGGAAATGCTGTTCACATTAGAGTGCTGCACCCTGCATCCAAAAAAAGCCGGCTGCAAATCCTAAGCTACAATGTTTAAATCCATCAGCTTAAGCCGCGAAGTTACATCAACCTAAGTTCAGAAACCTAAGCCTAAGTCCCGAACACGTGACCCCAAAACTTCCAAATCCCAAACGCGACTGAGGCTGCGACCCATGCGACGGGAAAGCGCTGAGCACTCAGCAGATGAGAAGGTCAAGGGTCGAGGCGTTCGAATGCCAAGAAGGGTTTAGGTTTTAGGGTTCAGTGGGGTTCTAGAACTATAACCTAGTAGTAGAGTAGGTAACCTTTAAGCTTTTTGGGGTACTATAATCCCTACAGAATACAAAGTGTCTTACTAAGTACATGACAGATAGTTTTTCAGCTTAGGTTCTGGATGCGTTGATAGGGTTGGCTGCAACAAGTACTTAGGTGCTGAGTGGATACACTTTACATTTTTCGGAATAATTCTACCCACTAAACAACTGAAAGTATACACTTGTTGGGGCTTATGACCTCAGCAACTAGGAGTAGAACGGGACTTTGCTCCTCTCGGGGGACATTGTTATCCTTCTGTGGCATGAGCAGCTTTCCCAAGAGCAGCAACATCCAGGACGACATGTCTCGACCCGGACTCCGCTAGATTTCCACGGTATGGCAAGTGAACTCCGCGTCAAGGGTCAAGAAGTTAAGGAGTGAGGCTTCCTTTTTCCAGCTGTATCTTGCGAACTACTGACCTGCTAATTAGGGTACTATTCCATAGTGCCCCCATGTAAAGCTACCCGCATTTTGAGGGGAGAAAGTCTGCCAAGATCAGCTAAACCCTAAACCCCTAACCCTAAGCCCTGTTACCTTCAGTCCCAACTCGGACTGTCTGGTTTCTACGTCGGTCAAGCAGTGTTTCTGTGAATGCACCCTCGGCGGGTACGTCCAACGGAACGTGCACATCGATTGTTGAACCCGGGTGTCTACCTGAAAGGCTGCAATATCAGATGTGGCAAATCCCATGCCAAATCCTATCCCCATCAAGGCACCTATATTGTATCCCCTGTAGATATTTTTCTGTAGAATGGCATCCGAACCATACAACTGGTCACACAGTCAGGGAACCGAAAACAGCCCAAGCCAGAAACTACAGGCCAGAATTCCGAAGACCCGAAGCTCCCAGGCAAGAATCACACCACTGTCAAGTGTGAGCAGACGACTTGCTCTGTTTCTTGGACTATGCTCCGAGAGCTTAGGTTTTAGGGTTTAGTTTGTGTTTTAGGGCTGCTCGTTGCCATGTGGGATTGATAAAGCCTGAAATTTCTCAATCGCCGCATCTCCAGCAGAAACTCTGAACCCTGGGCCCTCAGCCCTAGAAGCCTTAAGCGTAAAGCCTTTCATCCCTGAAGCCTTCTGGCACACTTGCCTCCTAAGCAAAACTAAGTTGAAGATCGCCTAAGCCCCAATCAGGTATCGGTTCAGGGCATACTGGAACCTTGCAATGAACCCTAACCCAAAGGGTCCAAGTATCATTATGGTATATACTTATAGGGTATTTTGGGGGGTCTAAGTATATACCATAATGATACTTGGACCCTTTGGGTAATATAAGTATATACCATAATGATACTTGGACCCTTTGGGTTAATGTCTCTTGGGCTCCATATCAGGATTCTCTTATACAGCTAGGTAGTTTGGGGTTACGGTAGGGTCTAGGCAGGGCCACATGCTTTCTGATTTCTGTGTCTGTATTGCTGGCGTAGAAGCCCTGGCCTAGACTGTAGTAGCACGTGGTGTGCAGCATAGCCGGTTGTTCTAGCCAGGTCCCCCACCTCTGGGGTGCGCTTTGACCCTTTTTGTGTTGAGCTCCCCTTGCTACAAATGAGCAGTAGGAAAAGGATACCCTATCATTATAAGGCGTTTTTGTGGGAACATAGCTGAAAGACAATAAAAGCCGAGCGCGAGTGCGTGATTCAACGACTGACGGCGTCACAGAAAGTTCACCAAGATCAATCAGGATGCGCTGGCCGAGAATGATTTGAGAGAAAAGCTTCGTCAGCGGAAGGTGGCATCCCTTGGCTTGCAGCTGCTCAGCGAAGCGAAGGAGAAGGAAATGCTACAAAGTAGCATCTCCTTAGAAAGTTCGCCAAGCTCAAGCGGGATGCGGGATGCACTGGCCGGGAAGGAGAAGGAGATGCTACGACGCTGCCACTCCAGGTGGCGCGATGCCGTGCTCATGCCATCGGGACAGACTGCAGATGGCAAAGTAAGACGACTCGTCCCTACAATTTTCCTCCTAGAGCAGAACCCTGCTATGAAGGCTGCCGTGCTCCGATTAAAGGAGCGTTTGCGCAGGACAGATACGGGGCTGATGCGAGGCATCATCACGTGTAGAAGTGTAGAAACCGTTTTGTACTATACACCCTTATGAGACCCGATAGAGGCAAGCAAAGAAACGTGTCTCCGTCGCCGTCACGGCGTAAGTTCCTCGAGACGGTCAGCCTTCATGTGCACACACATGGGTTTTTGTTTGAGTTCACTGCAGAGTACCGGGTGTCAGTTCCAGCGAGAGTTACAAACACGAGAACTGGATCCTAGCTTAGAAAGCACAGGCGAGACATCCGAATCTCCCCTTTATCCAGAAATACAGAAGCACTGCATCGACATCCCCCCCAAAATGTACCCTTGTAGGAATGGTGAATAGGCAAGCAGAATAAGGAATCCCAAAAGTGTAAGTGTATGTGGTTTCGGGGTTCTAACCCCTAAAGCCACAAACCCTAAATTCTTAAGTTCAACCCTATAGACACTAGGAAGACAACAGAGCAGAGACTGTCGTGTAATCCCCGCCCTCCAGTTTGGGTGTTCCTTATACCAGCATGGGGGTTTACAATGCGGGTGTGTTGTCCTACCTTAAGCTAACACATTGAGCCAAGCATTGAGCGGCCTGTTTTGAAGTTTATATGACTCGGTTTGAAGATGCCGTCCCCTTCAAAGAACTTGGTTATGTAGACAGGGTCTGAAGAACTGTCAATATGAGTTCTTAGGGCTTTCGACAGTTTTTGCAGTGCAAACCGGGCAAGCAAACACCTAGTCCCGCCCGTTGCTCATAGACCCCAGATCCTGGCTTCTATATCAATTGAGGTGTGTTCGCTTTGGGGCTTGCGTCACGTTTCCCGGACCCTCTCAAGGCCCCCAACCACAGAGCTTCAGAGCATTCTTTCGGCCCAGAGTTGCGCAGCTTGCAATTTTTCCATCATGCTTGTAAATACTTAAAACAGATTACGAGCACTGTACATACGGGCCCTACCTCATGTAGAGCACTTCATTCCAGGCCCTTACCGAAAAAACAAGCATCAAACCTTGGGCATCTGTTCAACCCTACATCCCCCCAAACCCTAAACCCCTTAGCCCTAAACTGTTGAATCCATAAACCCTCCGCCGCTAAAGCCCTAAGCCCAAAATCCCCAACCTAATCCTCAAATCCTAGACCCTTAAGCCTTAAACCCCTAAGCCCCAAGCCGCCGAGCCCTAAACCCCAAAGTGCGTCAAAGCAACGTTTTAGGGCTTGGGTTTAATGGTTTAGGGTTTAATGGTGTAGGATATGGGATTTAGAGTTGAGGGTTTGGGATTTGGGATTTAGGGTAGAGGACTTAGGATTAATAGGTGTTGATGGGTTTAGGGTCTTTCGGGTTGAGGGTTTAGGATTTAGTGTAGAGGACTTAGGATTTATATAGGTTTTGATTAATGGGTTTAGGACCTTTTTTTGGGATTTAGGGTAGAGGACTTAGGATTTATATAGGTTTTGATGGGTTTAGTTTCAGGTCTACCCGGACCAGCTGGCGACCTGCGAAGTGGACAGCTTGGGTTCCTTTTCAGGGTTTGTTTTGTGGGGTTTAAGATGGTGTCCCTAAACCCTAAGCTCTATAAGGGTTCCTTGGTTTTGATCTCTTGATCTGACTATGAGTCTTTTGGTTTTGGTTTCAAGTAGGGGTTGAGGTAGGGCTTAAAGGGATTTATCCCCTCTCTGGCTCCTTCCGGGCTGCATGTCAAGAAGAGATCCTCCTGCGGGGATGCCTTGAGGGGTTCGGAGACTGTCGGGCCTGTTGAGTAGTCATTTTGTCATTAGCCTTCAGCTAATCCTCGAGCTAATTAAAAGTGGAAGGATACAGTACAAAGCTTAAGTCAGCAGGACCTAGCTTGCGGATGTGTGTGAAGGCTTTTCCTAAACCCCAAACATGAAACCCTGGCTTCTTCGGACAGGTACATGGAGCCCCGTCCAGCTTGGAGATTCGGGCGAAGCTACAAAGTACGACCTTTCGACGAGGGTCACTCAAAGGGGAAAAGATGGGGACACCTACCCTATAATGGGCTATATATATATATATATATATATATATATATATATATATAATAGCTATACTAAGGGTATGTACCTAGGGGTCCTTATTAAGGGTCCCTCCTTTTACCCTTGGATTCACGTACCGAGAGCATGACCAAATAGTCACAGCACCCAGGGCCCTGAGCTAAATCCATACCACACTCTCTTGATAAACTCAGCCCCGGTAGCCTAAGGCCCCAAAGTAGTTCCTTTTTGGGGTTCATAAATAGAATCCTATAGGGTAATCCCAAAAAGGAACTACTTTGGGGCCTATGGGTAGCTTATAAGTGCCCGAGCCGCAAAACGTACGCTCCAAACCGGTCGCGACATCGAAGCCGGAAAGATGAAACGACCGCCGCTGTGGTCGCTATGTTACAGTTACATGTTTATGTAGCACGATTCATCTCTACACTCCAATTTTGTTGGGCTCTCGGGAAGAGCATGCTTTTTGGACGTAAGTCCATAATGGTAGTGTTTACACGAATGGTACTGTATGTGGACCCTTCAGGAAAACGAAGCTCGCCTCAGCCTTCAAGAAACGCTCGGGTTTACCGATTTGTGGGTTTGTGTGATGGGTACTTAGCGAACGTGGGGTGTACGGAATATGCCCGGAGGACAACACCCTCTTCTGCGACAAGGCATACGAGGAGGCAAGCTTAAGTCTCAACAGCTACGCGCAACCCTTGGGTATTATACTTTTGGGTCTAGCCCTCAAAAACAGCGGGTTTTCGATCCAGAGGTAAGCCTATAGTTCAACGTTCTCGAACACTTGCTGATTTTTGTCACGGAGGGAGGGCGCCCCAGGTCAATTGTGTGCAGGGGTGCCAATGACTGCAGAATCAGAATGGTACATTGGTGTGCCGGGTGCCCGTTCGCGGAATTACCGGTGAGACGAGCACTTTTACGTTTGGTTTCAGAGCCATGGCTCGCGGTCTTTTGAGTTCAACTTTGCAAAGTTGAGGCTGGGTTTCGGGGTACTGATCCGAGTGCAATGCCAGACATGCTGCCCCTGGTTGGAGAGACTTCGTCCATTTACGGCATAATCGTCTCAAAACAGATAAACACTCATGTAGTATGTACATCCGTTCGTAGGTAGGGAAGGAGGCAAGCAGGGAAGGAGGACAGGGGGATAGGTACATAGATAGGTAGGCATATGCACATGTCTGTATTTATATCTGTTTATATATTTATAGTATATATATATATATATATACATATATGCACATATACATGGTTTATTACATGTGCATATTTGTTGTACACCGATACTTGTCCGTGTTTGGAAAAAGTTTTCGGTGTAAAGGTATGATATGTGTGTACGTATGCATGTATGCACGCATGTGTGTTTTTAAGAGGTACCACTAGGGGATATGTTGATTGCGTCAGGTGGCCCAGCGACAGCCGCACATCCGGCAGAAGCGAAAAAAGGCCGGCGGGCGCCCCTTGGGTCAAAAAACAAAATCCCCAAGCCGAAGGCCCTATAGGATTTCCCTAAACCCTAAACCAGTATACCCTAGACCCCTAAACCGTAAACCCTAAAACTCTAGATCGCCCAAAACCGGCAACCCCAAGGCCCGCCAATGCCCTACTGCTGATGATATAAATCCTGCCTCACCCGTAATAATGAGTATACCATAATTCCCATAGTCTCGGGTCATTAAGGCAATGCAGGATTTATATCATAAACCCTAAACTCTAAACCCCCTATAGATCCCTTAAAGAAGCCCCTTAAAGGTACCTTTTTAGATCCTTTTAGATCCCTTTAAAGGAACCCTGCGAGGTCACTCAAGGGGTTCGGCTGGGAGGTCGATCGGTTGAGGGTTATGAAGGGTTCCTTCAAGGGCTCCTTTTACGGATGTGTTTAGACTTTTTAGACGGCGCTCAGACTCAATTATCATTACATGGAGATTTAGAGCCCTTACCTTGGCACATTTGGTCCTGAAGGGCAGGAGGCATGTTCTTGGGTGTGTAGGGCTTGGGGATTCGTGTTGGGGTTATGGTTATAGCGATTAGGGCTCAGGGGTCTACATCTATAGATATCTATAGTACGGTCGGACCATATCCCTCAACAAACTTACCCGCAGGCCTTGACCCACTTAGGGTAGGTCAGAATTTCGCGTTAGGCTCTGCCGTAAATATTACGCCTACTCTTTTTTTTGTCGCAGGGTCCCCAGACAAAGGGGAAACCAGTTTCTGCGCTGTAATGAGCCCCTGCACTAGCAGTTAGTTCATGGAGCTGTAAGTAATTAGGAGTTTTCCTAGGCCGAACCCCAGGTAAACACCCCTGAAGCAAACCTATACAGCGCTAAAGCACTACCCTCCCTAGCAGGTGCTGGGCGGCCTATCATGCCTGGGCCTCAGGGTTTAGGGTTCAAGGTCTAGGATTTAGGGTTGAAGGTGTAGGGCTGAGGGTATTACAGGGTTGAGGGTTTGGGGTTTAAGGTCTAGGGTTTAGGGTACAGGGTTTAGGATTGTAGGGTTGGTGGGGGTCCTCAAACAAAGGACCTACGACTTAGACTCAGATGCTACCTGGTCAGCTTGCTACAGGACGGGCCCAACCCAGGGATGTTACGCCAGGCCGTGTTTCAGATCAACTTCGCACAGTTGGCTACGCCAGGGCCGGGTGCTGGTAGCGGAGGCCGCTTGCAGGTTCATGGGTAGTTATAAGTGGGGGTTATAAATAGGGAAACTATGGTTATAACCCTTTTGGGGGACTTATAACCCCTATTTATTTTAGAACTACCCATGAACCTCCAAGCCCTAATTAAACTCGAAACCCTGAACCCTAAACCCTAAGCGAAGAGCAATTTGTTCACCAAGAGCCCAAACGAGCAGTGAACCAGCTCATGGAGTTCATGAAAGGTCTCTGGCCTCCTGCCGTGGCTTGGGAGTTTCCGACAATAGGGGACCCTAATATAGTACCCGAAATAGTAGGATCCTTAGTATGGGGACCCCAAATAAGGTACCCCCCAATTTTCGGAAACTCCCGCTTGGTTCCGGCCACATTGCAAAGTGTTGGCGCCTCGCAGCACTACCCGCTGGCCATTCGAATGAAGATTGGCGCTATCCGAAATAGAGACAAAGCTTAGTGCTTGGTTGCAAACGGAGAGTAAGACGGCCACAGCTGTTGAGAACGACATCTTCCCTGTGGTGACGGACAACGTCTTGGATCTTTTGCTGTTTCTGAGATAGACTCCACTTTGACAGGTTTGTCCGCCAATGACGCTCTGGCAGACTTCACGATGGACGCGCTGCGTGGAGGCATGAAACAGCAAGCAGCTCTCGTCACGATCATCATCGTTGGCGAGAAAACCCTTTACTTTAAGCACGTGCAGCTTGTTGCCGCAGAGGATGTAGCAGCAAAATGTCAAGAATGTTAGGTTGGGCTACACGGCTAAATCAGCAACCGGCTCGGTAGGACTCACGTATGAGTAGTCCTCCTATAGTTGAAAGATTAAGATATCACAAGATGGCAGTCCGCAACGAGTCGGCTGTTTGCTAGAGGGTGGTCCGAAATTACAGGCTTGCACGACACAATCCCAAACCCCGAAGCTTGAAGTTTGTCGTTATCCTCGGGCATTGTAAAAGAAGCATGGGGAATCCTCACTGCTAATAAACCCTAACTCTAAACCCTGAAGCCCAAGGCCAGAATCAAAGAAAAGCCCAGGCTCGGAGTATCCTGCCACTGTCGCGGAGGTTCTCTGTGAAGACTGCCGGAGACCCAAGATGAAGTGTTTCGCCCAAGCTTGAATCATAGTAATCAGTATTTGAGTAGTGAGGGTGGGGTCTCTGGGTAGACTAGAGCCTATAGCATATCGAAGCTTCCTAGAATCGCAAGGTCCACCTCGGAATATACCCTGTTACTCAGGGTTGAGGGTTTCGGGTTTAGGGTTTTGTGCACTTTATGCTGTTTACGCTTTTTTGGCGTATGAGCTCCGCAACTAGGCTCGACCTGCAAAACCCCGGCAATACCGTGTGTAGGGGTCGTCGCAAGAATTAGTATTACTAACTGGTATACAGTCATATACACACTAACACATACCACAAAACCTTGTTCAATGTTTGTCACCCGTCGAACAAGCTCGTTAAAGCTATGACGAGCTTTGAAAACACCCTTGGGTATTCTATTATAAGCGTAACAACAAAGAATCGGCAAATCCCCTATTCAGCCCCCCCCTCACGAAGTTAAGGAACCCTATTCTGCAAGCCCGCCGTTAATTTTATTGGGCTGATCTTAAGCCTTTGTCATCTTGAGAAAACCGTGTAAAACCCTCGACACTTTTCGTCATGGAACAGCAAATACAGAGCCCTGTTAGAATAGCACACAATCAAGCATCGGAAGAGAACCTGTACAAAGCCTCATGTACTGAAGCCCTTAGCGAGCCCTATGGGAGTTTCCGAAAATGCGGGGCCCTAATACGGTACCCTAAATAGTGGGATCCTTATTATAGGGACCCTCCAAATAAGTTAAATAAGGTACCCCTAATTTTCCGAAACTCTAAACCCTTATAGAGGCCTTTTAAAGGAACCCCTATAGTACCCTTATAGTACCCAAATAGTGTATCCCTAATTTTGGGAAACTCCCATATACAAGAGAAACCAGAAGAAACACCGCCCGGAGGCTCGGATTTATACTGCTGGGAGGCTTTCATCGAACTGCACAGACGAGGCTTGCGACAAGACACGAGTTTTAGGGTTTAGGGGTTTAGGGATTTAGGGTTCAGGGTTCAAGGTTTCGGGTTTTAGGGTTTAGGGGTTAAGGGGTTCGCCATAGGGCTTTCTGCGGGTTCTATGAGGGGTGTTTGAGGGTGCGTTTGGGCTTCAGCGGCTGCCGAGGCTAGGGGTTTAGGAAGTTGGTTCTTCAGGCTTACAGTAAACTCCACAAAGTTGAAACCTGATTAAGGACAATAGTGCTTGGATTCCAAATACATTACTCTTAAAGACTCGGACTGAGGCTATTGGGTTTCCAACCTTTGGGCTTCTGCTGTAGGAATTTGGGGCTTCAGGCTTAGGAATTTGGAGTTTGAGGTTTTGGTGGTCTCGGGGTAGACGATGTAGATGTAAGATTAAGGGTCCCACACCTTAACGAGGTTGGCAAACGAAGCAGCATTATACGGCATGGGTGGTTGTCAAAATAAAGGTCCCGTTTTGGGTCATCATTATAATACGGCACCTAATTTTTAGGGTGCCAAAAAGGGGCCATAATTTTGACAACTACCCGCATGAGTCTCAAGAACCAGCAACCAGAGAATGCTAGCTCACCCAGTTCAGGCCGCGGCTTTAACTTAGTTCCCCAATACCCGAATCGGAAAGTTCAACCTTTGATTTTTGTGGCTTAGTGGGGTGGTAGGTTAACTACTTGCAGCTAAACCGGAAGCTGTGGAGGCAAGGAGCGAGCGCCAAAGGTTGCACAGAGCTTCCTGCAGGGCATTCCTACTACGGAAACATGAACCTGAATTTTTGGTTGACATGGAGGTTGGCCGCGGAAGGCTTGTCAGAGTCATGACTGTTAGGGCTTATAGTGTCTTCGGGTTTATTACTTCATGGGTCTAGGGTTTAGGGTTTGATGGTTCAGAATTTTGGGGTTTGTGGCTTGAGGGCTGCGGGGTTTAGTTGAGTGCAAGATATCTCATCACATTTGCTTAAATCTGTCCTGGCTTTCACGTCGGCTCAATTCTGGGAGTCCCACCGCGAGTCCCAAATCCCGTCTTGCAGTAAAGTTTAGGGTTTAGGGTTTTAGGGCTGAGGGTTTCGGTCTTTGGGTGAAGGGTTTAGGGTAAGGGTATTCCTGGTGGCGGCCGTTGTCAGTATAGTGCAATCTGATTACTCAGGCTTCTATATACTTGAATTACCCGTTCCGCAACCAACCCTCAGCTGTGAGCCCTACAGTAAAAGCTAGAAAGTTGGAACACAATTATCCTCATGCCCTTAAGGTACAGTATAGGGGACTCCAGCAATATTTATCCTGAACCCATGTTCCAATTTTCTGGTGTTCACTCTAAGCCTCAATCCTTTTGCAGGCAACCGCCTCCGACACGTGCCCCTGCGTCTCGATGCCGAGGGCCAGCTGTACCGTGCCTTGACTGCCAAAATTTTGCAAAGGCGGAAATATGGGTGGTTGTCAATATTAGGATCCCTTTGAAGGACCTCATTATAACACGGCACCCAATATTTGGGGCACCCAAAAAGCGGCCATAATTTTGACAACCACCCATATCAAGATCGCCGCGACCCCAAGGTAAACTAGAGCTTTCCGATTTTGGGCATTACATTAACCAAAACGAGGACATTTTCTGAAGTGTCTTGTGGTGTGAGGCACCCTGTGACATGAGACCAAGGAATACCAAGGAAGTGTCAGAACTTTGTTCAGGGCTTCGTCGGATATCGCACGTTAAGGGAGTTCGTCAATCACAGGAGCAGGGCAACTTAAGGATCCCGGTATACGAGTGCCCTAAGCCTACACCCCATTAGCTCGACATACCGTATCCTAGGACCCAGAGTAGGCCCTTATTCCCTTTTTTTAGGGTTCAGGTTCCCTTATAAACCCCTTGAGACCAAAAAGGGCATCCTTTTTCCTCCTAGGTTACTCTTGGTTCTAGTATCTACAGCTTTGCTGACTAATTACCTGAAACAAAGGGCCCATGACACGCCAGGGCCCAATAGCTCAAAAGCAGACCCCACACCCAAAGACTTCAACACGAGAGCCGTCGACCCCAAGGCTCATAACCCAGAGGGTCCATAAACACTACTACGGTTGATGATAGAAATCCTGCATTACCTTAAGGACCCTAAACTATGGGACAATAGTAGTGTATATGGACCCTCTGGGTAATATAGGCTCCGTCCGGAATCTTTACCGATTCAATACTATTCTCCAGGCTGCCTCAGTACAACTACCCAGAGACTCCATAGTAGTTCCTTTTGGGAATTACCTTATAGGATTCGAAAAATGAACTCCAAAAAGGAACTACTATGGAGCCTTAGGGCATGCATAAGAAAATCGATCCCCGAAACTTTTGCACGTCCTCAGCCCAGTTGATCTCCAACCCTCCGAACCCATGTGCAACCCGCCGACTTTACAAAAGAGCCGGCTATGAGGGGTTTAGGGTACCTCTTAACTCCAAGGCATTAGATGTTGAAACGGGAGACAAGTAATTTCGGAAGCAGGTGCCCTGAACCGCCAACCGCGAATATCCTATCTCCTATAAGGCCTAAGGCCCTCAACACCTTAAACAACCCGAAACCCTAAAGCCAGTGAGCTTCATCCCGACGGATTTGAGCCTCCGAACCATGAACCTCCAATCGAAGTCCAGCAATAGCCATCTTGCGAATCATCCTCATGATGCCAACCACTGATGGCAAAAGTAGCAATAGCAGCAATCGTTTCAATAGATGTGAAAGTCGAATTATGCGGTCTCATAGAATAACAGTTTACAATAGTCATCATGAGTCCAAAAATTCACAAAGTTTTGTGCCTTGCCAGGTGCTGGTGAGCTTCTCCCCCCAGAGGTCGGCATCAGGGGTTTAGGGTTTCGGGATGGGTCTGGAGGAAGTCTTGAATGATGTAAGGCTTTAGAAGGGGGTGAGTTCAGTACCCTTCAATGAGTCCGTTAGCAAGGATCCCATGCGGTTCAAGTATGTGATGCCCTTCGCTGCTTCAACAGCACATGCAAGAAATTTGGGCGCAGTTTCTACGATTCAAGATGTCCGGTTCAGGTTTGTGTGTTGTGACATCGCCATTTCATGCATGTTTAAATGCAACCGTCCCCGTTGCTGCAATTTCGTTTCTGCCTTATTCGGCCGATGTCGTGCCTGCCATAGGGCACTTAACAGGGTCCGCAAGTCAAATCCGCAGTTCCCAGAACCCTACCTGAAACCTAAGCAACGTACCGCTTTAAGGACCTATGTAAGGAAATCATAGGAAAGAGTCCAGAAAAGATCGGTGTTCGTTGGGTCCAGGTAAACCCTAAACCCCTCAGCTTGAGCATTTATAGTAGCCCTTAAAAGAGTAGCCCTTTCTCTAGTATCCTTCTTATAGTACCCTTATTATAGTACCCGTATGGTAGCCCTTATATGGAAGCAAGAGACTCCAATATCTCTTATTTGAGGAGTATACCTCAAATTGTGGTAGGGTCCCTAATATGAATGAAGGTATATTCCTGAATTGCGGGACATTGGAGTCTCTGGGAACCCAGGAGTGCGCCCGCCTCATCGACCGCGCCCGCCTGGCGCGCGAGGGTGGGCCGTGGCTGGCGTTCCAGGATGACCAGTTGCCTGGCTGCTTTCGGCTTTAGGGTGTAAACCAGCCCGGGTTTAGGGTTTAGGGTGTAGGGCTTAGGGTTTAGGGTTTAGGGTGTAGGGCTTAGGGTTTAGGGTTTAGGGTGTAGGGCTTAGGGTTTAGGGTTTAGGGTGTAGGGCTTAGGGTTTAGGGTTTAGGGTGCAGGGTGTAGGGCTTAGGGTTTAGGGTTTAGGGTGCAGGGTGTAGGGCTTAGGGTTTAGGGTGTAGGGCTTAGGGTTTAGGGCTGAGGGCTTAGGGTTTAGGGCTTAGGGCATCAAAGGGAGAGGTGAAGAGTATCGAGGATGTGCCGCAGCACCCTTCTTGCAGAGGCGCAGCTTGTACTGTCAGTGTGAAAAGTTGTGTATGCACGCCTGTATGTAGGTAGGCAGGTAGTAGGTAGGTACGTATACATGTAAGCATGTATGCCAATATGTATGGATGCACGCATATGTATAAATATGTATATATATATATATATATAGCAAGAATATGTATGTATGTATGTATGTATGTATGTATGTGTTTGACATTATGTTCGTATCGGCCGCATATTTATCGCCATTGTAGCATTTGATTACTCATTTACAGCCACAACAGAGCCTTGACCAGAAATCCTCATTTCCAAGCATAAGGGTTCAGGTTCAAGGTGTAGGGGTTTCAGCATTCAGGGTTCAGGGGTGTGGGATTTTGAGGGTTATGGTTTCAGGGTTCAGCGCTACCCCCTAAGGCTCTTAGGGTCAAAGGACCAAGGAATGTGCTCTTTGGCGGCCCCATGTAGGATTCAGGGCTAAGGATTGCGGTGGCGGATTTTTCAGGATGACGAGTTCAGGTTTGGGTAGACTCTACCATCCGAGCCATCACCGCCCAAGCACTTGTAGCAGTGCCCCTGACTTCTGCACGGATATATGATGTGAGCAGAAGAATCTCGGAACCAAACCCCACGAAGCCCTTATAGCCGAAACCCCTAAACCCCAAAATCTTAAACCGCCCTTATCTTCAGACTTCAAGAAGTCCGTATCTCCGTTTGACCCGCGCCTTGAGTCAAGCCAAAGCAGCCGTCGGGAATGGGGGAATGGATCCCAAAAGTAGCTCATATATAATCCGGAATAATAATCCCCAATTTCCATTCCCCCATTCCCAATTAAGCAGCCTTTAGCCCGAAGTCGCCTGCCTTGAGGCTCAACACCTACTGGTATCACCTCAGCGACAAGGCCTAGATGCGGACAGGGGTGTAATGTGGTTTCATATAGGGACCCTACCAAAAGAGTAGGTCCTGGTGCGTTAAGGTGCATAGGAGTACTCTGGGTCGATGAAGCTGGTACTAGTACCCTAAGTTTTTCAGGGCTTATATCTGTCAAAATTATGGTCCCTTTTTGGGCACCCTAAATATTAGGCGCCGTATTATAATAAGGACCCAAAAAGGGACCCCAATATTGACAACCACCCATATGAAGACACCTGATTAAGGAACCCTCAGAGGTCGGATGTTTCGGGTCCGGGTAGGAGCTGCAGAAAACCCGCTAAGCGCACCCGCGAAGAGCAGCTTCGGAAGTGAAGGGAGGGCATGGGGCTTACTTTAACCCTGAATAGCCTACCTTGTTGAGGCTCTTTATTATGATTTCTTTATATAAGTCCTTAAAAAGGCAGGCTATTCCGGGTTAAGGCAGGGTTCTAGGGTTTAGGGCTTCGGTTCTGCAGCCCCAAATCGGACACTCCGAATGTTCAGAACCCCGTCCGCCCCATATGGGTAGCTGTCAAAATTATGGTCCCTTTCTGAGTCCCTGATTTAGTACGGCACCTATTATTTAAGGTACCCAAGAAGGGACCCTAATTTTGACAACCACCCATATAGAGTCATCCTTGCACTATACATTCTCGTGGGTCGGGCCCAGGGAGGGTATAGAAGCGTTTCACAGACTTTGGGCGTCGTTCTGCATGAAGCAACATGTTGTCCAGCATCACTGTCGCGATCGTAGTGCTCAACATTGGAATACAGTAATATGGTAGTGATGGTACTCATCAGACTACCGCATGAAAGTACGGAACAGGTGTTGTCAGGTTATGGCTGTACCGGCAGCCGTAGTAATCAAAACTTGCCGGGCCCTCAACTCGAAATCTTCATAGCCAGCGAAAAAAGCTACTTCGGTGACTAAAGGGTTTAGGGTTTAGGGTTTACCAAGGTAAGTGACAAGTTCAGGGGTCCTGCTTGGATCGCACAAAAAGCGCCATTCCTCTCACTTACCAGGAACCCCTAAGCCCCTAGCTGAACTCCTCCAACCCCAAGCCCTTCAGCTCTTCGACCCCTACATCCCTACACCGCTCAACTTTAACACCTACCTGTGCCCCCAAACCCTACAAAATCGTAGGTTATGACCCCTCAATTAGAAGGTCGAACCCTTAAAACGGTAGGTTTTGGGAGCCGCAGGTAAATCCTAAAGCCCTAAACCCTAAATCCTAAACCCTAAACCCTAAACCCCCCAAGTCCTAAATCCCCAAACCCATAGACCCTAAAGCAGCCCCTGTTACGAGAGCTGCTCACAGGAAAGACCCCCAAGGGTCTGACGAAGCTTTGCCTACACATGCTGCACACAGGTCTTACGGTCTATTGCCGAAGCTCATTTTGGGGTGTAGGGCTTAGGGCTTATAAGGGTTTAGGCTTGAGGGTTTAGGATTTAGGTTCGGGTTTAGGGTATCAGAATCAGAGTCTTTTTAGAGAACCCTGATGATTTCCTTGGATTAGATTTCCCTGCTGTAGGAACTGAGGTGTTCCTGTTGGATAGGTGCAACTCAGGTGGTGCTGGTCTAGAGTCCAGTTGAGATGCCAGGTCACGACGCAACAGAATCCGTACCTCTGAGCCATTGTGAGCCAATCCCAACGGCAAGCTCTCGGATGCGAGTGAGGTTCACGATTCAACATGACCCTAAACCCAAAACTCGAGTGAACGATTCAGCATGACCCTCAACCCTAGACTCGAGTGAGGTTCACAATTGAGTGTTAGGGCATGCCCAGGTTGACCTTGCAAACCGCTGTTCTTTGCAGATGTCTTCCCCCGCAGATAACACAAGTAACACGCTGTCGTAGTGCCGATCTTTTCATTGCCGAAGGTCAATGTATAATGGTCTGCATCACTAATCGCATGCGCTCAGTCCTTACACATGCATATCACATAGGTGCACGTACAGTCATATACATACCTGCACACGTACATACCTTCCTGACCCTTTTTGCATTTTTGCACACTAAGGCACTTCCTTATTCTCATTATGATACAAAAGAACCAGAAGTCTTCCCTCACCCGTTTTAGTCGGCTAGGCTACATCCGAACCAAGAGCATAATGAAGACAAATCGGACAACCTTGCGCGGCAGCAGTGCATGACATGTCTCACCAAAGGGTTGCAGCGACTGTCCGTCGGCCTCCGGATGAGCGTGGGTGCAGGATATGGTTTCAGGTCTACTGGATCGAGCAGTTAGGCATGTGCAGGGTAGTCAAAATCACAATATCAGTACAACTCGAGGCTTTATGACGCCCCTCTGAACCGTGTACGCAAACAGACATCCATGCATGTGTTGCTTTGTTCGCTTGGTTGGTTTATTCATGTACTTCCTGCAGGACGTTTACTGCTGCATCCCGGATGCCACAGGGCCCTCGATGGGGCTCGGCGTGATTCACCTGGCGACTGCCAAGTTCAGATCCCAGATGGGACGAACCTCAGAGGGTTTAGGGTTTAGGGTATCTATAAGCACGGACTCAACTCCATTTTGAGGTATCTCTCCTTCTCTTGTGAACGTGGCCATGTAGAAGAAGGTCGAGTTATCCATAGCAGTGCGATAGGGGTTTGCGTTTAGGAGGATCGATAGGCACAACAGCTACTATGAGTGCTCATCAAGTCTGGCAGTCGGACGTAGCCCGACGGTGGCACAGGAGTTTGTCAATAGCAAGTGTAGACCTGCCGCATGTACGGCATTTTGACTGAACTGCTATTCTTCGTACTGGCCTTGGCGAATAGTCAGTTTCATCGTTATCATCCCTACATTTTAAAACTCAGACCCTGAACCCCAAACCCTAAACCCCAAACACATCGCTAGTTCAACCCAACACCACGAACCAAGCGCCTTCTGTTTGAAGACTGACCAGCTAGGTTTAGGAAATTTCATATTCTGCTCCTTGTTGAAGAGATTTAGAGGCTTGTATGGCCAACTGAGAGAAATTTAGCTCTAGGATTTCGCCGACTGCGGTTCGTCCCAAGCATGCCCTTGAGTGAGAAAACCGCCCGGGGTTAGAGTGTATGGGTGCAGGCTTTAGACTGGTTCAGGGCTTTGGATAAAGAAGCCGGGAGCTTGGCTTTTGGATGCAGGGTTGGCTTCAGGGTTATATGGGAGTTTCCGAAATAGGGGACCCTAACATAGTACCCTAAATAGTAGGATCCCTATTTCCCGGACCCCAAAATAAGGTACCCCGAACTTTCGGAAACCCCCTTATGTGGTTCTCATGCATTTCGGCGCTAGCGCTCCGATCCTCGGGAAGAGCTGAGAAAAAAGCCCAAAGGGTCCTATGTACTGTTGTGGGGAATACTTCCCCAAATCATAATAGTAATTCCTAATATGGAAACCCTACATTCTACTTTATCGGTACTTCGGAACCCTTGGAAAAGAACCGAACAAATCCTTATTAAAGGAACCCTAAACCCTAAAGCCTTAAAGATTCCGGACTCCTTTTAGGCAGATGGAAAAAGGCGTACAAAAAAAAGCCTTAAAGATACTTTGGACCCTTTGGGATATTCGACTTCGGAGAGGCTTTGGACCTACGACAGCCTCCATAAACTCACCTCTGTACGGACATATGCAAACGAAGGTAGGAACCTGTTTAAGAAACCCTGGGCGTTTTGCCCCAAAAAAGTAGGATTCATATAAGGAACCCTAATAAAGGCCCAAGGTTTCTTAATCAGGTTTCTACATTAAAAGATGTGTAGTTTTGTCAGGTGGTTCAGGTAGAACCTTGAAGATACAGGACATGGTTGAGTTTGTTGTCTTTAGCCCTTGGGAGATGGCACCTACTCGGATTAGAAAAGATCCAGCGTTTCAGTTTATCATAAGTAATCTACGGTAGAAGCCCAAAAGTTGGAAAGCCACTAGCCTCAATCCCTAAGAGTAATGTATAGGGAATCCCAGCACTATTTGGCCTTAATCCGGTTTCCAACTTTATGGGTCTTACTGTAGAAGCTTGAGCACTTCAGGATCCCAAAGGGTCTAAGTCCCAAAGGTCCAAGTATCATTATGGTATATACTTATAGGGTATTTTGGGGGTCTAAGTATATACTTAGACCCCCAGAATACCCTATAAGTATATACCATAATGATACTTGGACCCTTTGGGGATGTTATTTGCTAGTACACCTGCACCATGAGATGCCTCAAAAGCCCCGTTTCTAATTTATCGAGGCCCCTTGCGCAGCGCTTTCAGTCGGGTTATGAGTAGGGCAATTTCATTTACCATACATATGGGTAGTTGTCAAAATTATGGTCCCTTTTTGGGTACCCTAAATATTAGGTGCCGCACTATATGAGGGACCCAAAAAGGGATCCTAATTTTGACAGCCACCCATCTAACTCTACCATACTGTCCTCTGACCCTTCTGCGAACTTTACGTAAATTCCTGGCCTCGCAACAGGAAACACCTCAGGCGGTTTAGGGTTTAGAGCTCATGTCCAGGAGTCCGATGCGTGGTGAAATTGAAGAAGCTTTGCAATGTTAATGGTGAACTTACCCAGAGACTCCATTCGCCCTTGATTAAGGAATATACCTTAAATCATATTAGGGATCCTACTATAATTTAAGGTATATTCCTTAGGTAAGGGAGAATGGGGTCTCTGGGTAGACCATCCATCTACCCTAACATCAGTCTGACCTGTGCAACTCTGTTGATTGTAAGGGCACGGAGTGGGTCCGAACAACTGAGTCCTATGCGAGTACTTGCAAGTAACCGAGCGGTGAAGCTTGGTGTACCCGCCTTAAAGGGGATCTATAAGGGCTCCTGTAAGGGATCTATAAGGTTTAGGGTTGAAGGGACTCCAATATCCCTTAATTAAGGAATATACCGGTGTACCTTAGAAGCTGCCCCCACCCTGTAATAGTGACTATAAGGAATCTATTAGGGCCCTACTATATTCCTATTTTACCACTATTACAGGGTGGGGGCCCCTTCTGTGTACCTGCGGGCTAGAACCTGAAAGATGAAAGCCTGAAGTCGAAGTTGAGTCCTCTGCGCGCGCCCGCGTCCACGGCTCGAGCACATGCAGGGACTGCTAGAAGTCACATCTATGCGAATCGAAGTGCATCCTTTGGATTGCAAAGCTTGAAAAAAGGAAGGCTGAGATCAAGGCCACTTCGCAGGATTTCGGGCTGGATCAACAAACGCACAAGCAGAGATTCCAGCCAAACTTTCACCCGGTATGCTTCCATCCCTAGTCTTCGTGATCGTAGTTGACGTTGTCATTTCGGGTTTAGGGTTGAGGAGCAACCCATGAAGGAATCCTCAGAAACGCTTAAAGGAACACTCGAAAGCCTATAGGACTCTTAAAATACTATTTGCTTAAGAAACACCCAAAAAATAAAAATAAGAATCCCTATTACCACCATAAGGAATATGTTTTTTTATTTTTTGGTGGTTCTTAAGCAAATAGTAGTAAAGGAGCCTTGACAGGAGCCCTCAGAAACCTTCGGTCGCGGGCGCAGAAGTTTTCTTCTTTGCGCCATGCGCTCCTTGCCTTTGCTTTGCTTCGGCCTGAGCTCCGACTTGAGGATTAAAGGTTTAGGGTTTAGGGTTCTAGCTACCCTCCACCACGAAAGCATAGAACATAATCTACAAAGATTTTCTTTGTAGGCAAAGGATGAATAAATAAGTGTGTGGCTGCTTGTGTACAGAATTTCTCATGCATCTCATCCTTGCATTTTCTCAGTCTCCTCCGGCTTGATGCAGAACATCGTGTTTGATTGTTGGAGCGGGAAATTTCAGATAGTCTTGCCTGCTACGCACGGGGTTGAAGAGCACTGAGCTTGGAGCCATGGACCCCTTTTCCTGGGGCGGTGCGACATCCGTGGCAAGTGCTTGCGCAGCATCCGCCGGTTCCCTTAATTTCCACAGCAGGTCTAGCTCTGTCCACGGCGATGGTTTGGCAGCAGGTGCAGCAACAATGCTGAATTACATGTCGACACCCATGGCCCCCATGGCCAAAACTGCGGATGTTGCAAGATGTTCGTTGACAAAACCCCATTGGCACTACTTCGTTTCCTTACCAAAGACGGCATCTTGCAGAAGCCTTCTACGTGTCCTCGTTCAAGCATTGGCTCTCACCACTATTGGAACGGTTGATGATATAAATCCTGCATGACCCATAATCAGGAATGTACCATAATTCCCATAGTTTAGGGTCCTTATAAGGAAATGCAGCATTTATATCATCAACCGAAGCACAGGCAAAGCCACGTCTGACGCTACTCTAAACAGTCGTGCATGAAGCGCAGCTGGCCGGCAGGCCTCGATCCTCTTCCCAGACCCCCGGGAGGATCCAAAAAGTGGATCCCTTAATGGGGCTTCCTTTAAAGTACCCTTAGTTGTATGGGGCCCCAAATTAGGGAATCTACTTTCTAGATCCTCCCCCAGGGGTATCCTCTTTTGTCTTACCTTTGGTTAGTAGGGGATGGAGGAATGGGGGTACCATTATAACTACTATTACTACCATTCTTCCATTCCCTACTAACCACCAAAGGTAAGTCAGGTGATCAGTGAGACAAAGTCCTTTGGGGGTTAGGCGAAAGAGCTGCAGCGACTCCGGTCGGCCACGAACCTCGCTCCACCGGGACCCCCAACTGCTCCCAGGCCGTTGTCGATCTTTGTATCCCCATCACCCTAAACCCTAAACCCCTAAACCCTAAACCCTAGACCCGTACCGAGGTCTAAATCATCTGCCTCAATGTCGTGCTAGTTCCTGTAGGTGATGTGTTCTTCGTGCCGCACAAGGTATCGGTTTCCAAGTTTCTGTAGATGCGTGCGACGGCTTTTCCGTCATAGTGGTGTTCCCGTGGCTTGGTCTGCAAGGTCACATCGGGAGGGGAAGGGCTCTTAGAAGAAGAATACTTGTTGCACAGGCCACTGCGACAGGAGTGGGCCATGAAGGTTTTCTTCCAGGAGACTGTTGTGCGCAGACTTCATGTTAGAGAACAACCGCAAAACAATGAACAGCCAGGGTTGGTCGATAGGGGTGGCGGGTTAGCATACACACATATATATATATATATATATATATTAATATATATATATTAATATATATATATATATACACACATATAGATGTACATACATATATACCCGCTTAGTCATTTATTTGTATAGTTTCTTAGTTACAAGTAGATGTAGTTATATGTAAACATGTTTACATCTACTGTAGATATAGATGTAAACACAGTTTTTCGTAGATGTCGAGATAGGTGTAGACATTTTCATTTTCGGACCTCGTTCCGGAATGGCACCGGTCCCAAAACTCGAGGCCTTTGTTGCCTTCTTCCTGCACACGCTTTGCAGGCAGGCCTCGTGTCTTTGGCCACATGAGCACCCACCTCGTCCTAGCAGAACGTAGAGTTTGGATATGTGGATCTTCAAGTTGTGGTTTGTGTAAGCATTCCCCCCATGTAGCTACTAAGGGGCATTAGGGCACTGCCATACCGCAATAACGTTTTAATATCCTGGAAGTAGTAAGCCTATAGTACAATCATCATCGTCATAGTCACGTCGTGGAACCTCAAGAACTGTTTTGGGCTACTGCTGTTTGCCTCAGGACCAAACGAGCCTCAAAAGCAGGGGCCCTATACACATATACAATGAATCCCTATAAGGTATATGAACACTAAACCCTTATCGGGTTCTTTTTCCTTAAGGTGTAGGGCGAGTGACGATATGCCCAGACGTGCGAAGGATCTTCAAAGTGGATCCCTTAGTTTCGGACCCTGTACTGCCAGATGGCAGTTGATCAGAAGCCCCCCGGAACCCTTTAAAGGAGCCCTACTCCTAACTATTAAGGCCCCTACATTATAATAATTACCCCTTATAGTACCCTTTAGAGTAGCCCTTCTAGACCCCCTTTTAATGAACGAACCCGAACTCCGGAACACTTACACCAGCCTGATCTCCTACACCTGAACCCACTGCGCTGCAGTGGCATCCTTGCAACTTGTAGATCCCTTTTACGGAGAATACAGTAGAAGCCCAAAAGTTGGAAACCCAATAGCCTCAATCCTTACAAGAGTAATGTATGAGGAATCCCATCACTATTTTTCTTAACCCCGGGTTTCCAACTTTATGGGGTTTACTGTACTGCGAGCCTATGGGACCCATAAAGTAACTCCAAGTCCCTCTAAGCCCCCACAGATACCAGAAAGGAGCCCCTAAAAATCCCTCGAAGGATCCCGCAGAGGATCCTTAAAAGAGCCGTGAAAGGAAGCTTCAAAGGAGCGGTAGAGCCCTATAGAACATTATATTCTGAAGCCCCATAAATACATGATTTCTAGGTACTTGGACATTTAGGGCAATTAAGACGCCATACAAGGCTCCAAACCCTAAGCCCATAAACCCTCAACGCCGAAACCGTTAATCCCCTGAACCCTGCCCGCCTAAACTCCTAAAACCCTTAAAATGCCTATACTAAACCCCTAAACCCCGTACCCGAAACCGCCAAACCCCTGAAGCGCTGTGATACCCCGTGGCGAGGGCAGCGACGACGACGCTGCTTCTGCGAAGTCCTTGTTTCTGCGCCGCCTGGCAAGGTTTTGGGTTTAGGGGTTTGGGGCTAAGGGTGTGGGGTTTAGGGCTTAGAGGGCCGGGGGTTCTGCTTGCTCAGGGTTCTAAAAGAGTCTAGGGCAAAGGGTTTGGGGTTTAAAGGGCCCGGGGTTGTGATTGCTGATCAGGGTTCTTAAAGAGTCTCGATAAGCACTGTATGCGGGGGATAAGGGTTCTGTACGTGTAGTTATAGGGTCCTACCCGGGTATAATTGTTTAGGCGTTCTACATAGTAGGGGTTGGTGCAAGGAAAGGATGGGTCCTGTCGTAGACAGTTGGGTGTCTGTGCTTGTAATTGCGACTATTGGGTAGGGCGGGACCGTGGGGTTCGGTTTGTACAGGAAGTTCTTCGGATTGACTCGACCGCGATTCAGACAAGTCTGCAGGTATATTTTAAGCCCTGAACCTTAAACCGCCTAAACCCCAAACCGTGTAAACCGCCCCTAAACGCTAAACCCCTTCATGTTGTGTGAGCCCTACGAGTGTCGACGAGTCTCCGACTGCACAGCAACATCGCACGCTTAAGTTGGAGGGTTACGGTTTAGGAGTTTATGGTTTGAAGAATCCGGGCTTCAGTTTTAAGGACTGTGCAAATCTCACGCAAGCCCAGACAAACGATGCATGTAAAAGAGTCTTTAGTTAGCAGCCATTAAGTGAAAGCCCTGAGCCCGCCAAAACCTCTCTTGACATAGGCACACTAGGGACAGCTGTGGTATGAAAAGAAACCTGAATGAATAAGTAGTATAGTATTCTCTTTGCCCCCTAAGAATCGCATGGGTATAGACCCCCAGCCGTAAAGTAAGATATAAGCCTCTCTAGAGCCCCCATAGCAGCTTTTTGAGACTCTATGACGCTATACAGCTTGTGGTGTTGCCGTGTCGGGCAGTCTGAGTGTAAGGCATAGAACCCCGAGTTCGAAGACCCGGACCTCAAGCCCTGAACACAGTGTTTCTGTTGTTTTGTCTGTGCCTGTTCCTCTGGGGTACCGGTACATTACATTAGTTCCCGTGTATTGCTAATGGCAGGTCTGTGACCCAGCTAAGCGGAGAAAGACGATTGGAGTTAAAACAGAAGATGCCCTAAACCCCATACCCCGGGTGTAGGTCTGGCAAGACCTAGGAGTTCCAATTCGTTTCAGGTGGGCAAAAACTCGAAAAAGAGCGCTTGCACCCCTTGGGAAAGGTTATTCGTTGTGTTTTTGAGATCTACGGTTTCGCGAGTTTAGGATTTAGGGAGGTGTCTTTCAGGGTTATGCAACCAGGCTCCGGGCCATTGTTAGCTTTGTGTTTTCCTCTTGGCTTGAGATGCCTACAGGTCTTGACACCAACAGCGACGGCGCCGTCGACCAGGATTTCGCGATGGTCCAAATGAGAATGTCAGAACATATGGAGCCCCTACCTAGGCCTTAAATAACTGCATCCTTAATTTGGGGACCCCTAGCTCTAAGAATCCCCCCCTAAACCCTAAACCCCCCCAAAAAAAAAAAAAAAAAAAACTAAGCCCTAAACCCCAATCCCTAAACCCTAAACCCCTCCTTTGTTGTAAGCCCTAAACCCCTCCCTACCAGATCGACCTCAGGGTTACCACGTCATCTTGCACCCCAGACCCAAGGTCTCGAAACGAAGCTCTCCGGCAGACTTACTTTCACCCTTGTGGTGTTTAGTGTTTACCTTTAACCGGAACGTTGATGATGTAAAACCTGCATTACCCATAATCAGGAATATACCATCATTCCCATAGTTTAGGGTCCTTAAGGTAATGCAGGATATCTATCATCAACCGAATAACCTACGTTTTTAAGGACTTATAGAAGGAAATCACAATAAGGAACCCCTAAAAAGGTCGGTTATTCAGGGGTGAAGGTAGGGTTTAGAGTATAAGCCCGAAAAAGCCACCAAAGGTCAGCTCTCAAAATTCAGGTCGCCGAAAGGCTAGAGAAAGCCAAAATAAAAATGCAAACCGCAAAAGACGAAGCCCGAAGCCCTAAACTATAACCTCCAAATCCCCGCGCCCAAAGCCTGAAAACAATTATGCGTGTTCCTAATTCCGATATCCTGAGTGACATAGTAGACCCTATAGAACCGCTTCCACAATCCATAAACGAACCGGAGCCTTTCTTACAAGGCCCCCACAAGCTCCCTGTATTAGGGAATCCATCGCTGAGCATTTTGAAAACTGAAGTTGTCATTCCCCCCCAGGATCTCATAAGCATCCTTTAATAGAGCGAATGGCGGTCATTTCGGGTATGATACAGGATTAGTGGGGGAGGCTGTTCCTTTAATGGCTTCATGTTGAAGAGTTTTGGGAAGGAAGGTTTGGGGTGTAGAGATTAGGTCTTTTGGTTCAGGGCTTGGGGATTCAAGATTCAGGCCTTTAGGTTCCAGGGTTTAGGGTCTCGGTCTAGGGTGGGATTGAGCGTTGCGGCGTTAATAATTGCATTTCGGGTTTGGGATGCAGGGGATCTTTCTAAAATCTCTCGCTGTTGTCGTTTGCAGGAGGAGCTGGTGATGTGGATGATGTCGCAGGCCTTTCCCGCGGGATATCTCCCAAACCGAAAGACAACCCCAAATGTTCAAAACCCTGAATCTGAATCGTGAACCCTAGACCTTAAAACTCTGTATACACAGATTTGGGCTCAGCTAAGATTTTGGGATATAGCCCATTCGGGTGTTTGTTTTTATGCAGGGTCCCCAAGCTTAGTTGTTTGGGATGTTGGGGTTTAGTCAAGATTCTGGGATTGACTGCAGGGTTCAGGGGTGAAGAGTTTAGCAAGTACAGAATAGGACATGGGGGTTTCAGACTTGTGGTTTATAGGCTTTTCCACGAAGGGCTTCCTACATCGCAAGCTTCACAACTTCGAGTTCCATAACTCCACCAACCCGGTCGAATGCTTCTCGTGGGTCGGCGGTTGGGGGAGGACCGGTCGCAGGCACAAGCATGCTGGAATACCAGAGCAGGTTTCTACTGGACGTGGTGGCCAGTTGAACTGGCACAACGTGGATACACGTCAGCATCCTGGATGACGATGGACAATTCGGCAACAGATGGCCGAATACACTTGTCCTTGGATGAGATCCCTACCTCGGTTGTGTGGGAATTTCCACTGCCGGTTGACACCTTCTGGAACTTGATTAGTTTTGACACTTGGGCCAGCCTTGGGCCCTTAACAATACCTCTACTATTTTGGCCATTAGAACCAGAGTATAATATACCCCAAAACCCTATGCTAAGTATTGCGGCCTCTATATTACCCGAGCCCATGGTGATGCAGAACTTGGCGGTCGGTTGCTGCAGCTGTGCCGAGCCCTGCGTGCGTCAGTTTTTTTCTGATGCTCTGAAGCCAGGCCACTGACAAATGTAGGGACCTTGGCGAACTGCAGGCCATTCAGTTGAACCCTAAACCCTAATCCTACTCCATCCGACGCCCTACAGATCCTCCTTTGCAGAGAACCCTACACCCGACCATCCCTGCCGACAACTCTACAGATCCTCCCTTTGTCTAGGTTCCTGAGCAGTACCCTTTCGCCCTTTCTAGTTTGTGGTCCTCTTATTATCCCCAAATAGCAGGAAAAGGGGTACCCATATTATTTAAGGTCCACTCCGGAGCCTAGTCCTACATCTCCGAGGCATCCGTGAGCTAAACCCTACATCCGAAGCCCTAAACCCCCTAAACCCTAAACCCTAAATCCTAAACCCTAAGCCTTTGGGAAAGGATCCTGAGATGGCTCACGAGGATGCCTTGGAGGAGGTGGGGCCCTGCCACTCTGAGGGCTCCTAAGGCATCTTTGGCACCAAAAGGTTCCTTCCAAGGGTTACCATAAAGGGTACTATAGGGGTTCCTTTAAAGGGCTCCAAAATGGGTACTATAGGCGTTCCTTTAAAGGGTTCTATTTAGGGTTTAGAGTTTCCGAAAATTAGGGATACCTTCTTAGAATATGGATCCTACTGTTTTCGGAAACTCTCAAGTGCTGTTGATGTTCGACTTGTGTCATAGAATTGCTGGAGGAGTGCACTATTAGGGCCGTCAGCGGGGCTTCGCGGGTTGCGCGGGGTGAATAACCCTCAAGAGCCCTTATTTCGGGCCCACAATTGTAAGTTATTTACAAACATTTTGGGGGGGGCTAGGATTGTATGAGTTCTCATAGAGCCAAAGACTACAGCAGTACTAATCAGACCGAAGAGACCAGAGCTTCAGGGTTTAAGAGTTTAGGGCTCAGGGCTTAGACTTTCGGGCTTAAGGTTTATAGGGCTTAGGGCTTTAGGGCTCGCTGTTGACTTGTCTGACTGTCCTGACGAATTACTGTCAAGCCGACTCACACCCGGATGCACCGAACCCCCCCTAATATTAACATAGAATCCCGGAAATCGATGTTGATATTAGGGGGGAAGGGGGGGGGGCGCGTTTTAATATTAGTGGGAAACGATTAAAACCTAAACCCCTAAACCCAAAAACCCAAAAAACTTTAAAACCTTTTAAAAATAAGCCCTGAAAAATTTGAAAAACGCCAATGCCGGTGAAAAAAGGCGAGCTCCGCCTTCGAAGCCTTCGACGAAGACAAGAACGAGAAGTTTTCGCAGGTGCCTTTTCTGATGGTTTTAGGGTTTTTGGGGATTCATTGGGGTTTAGGGTTTGGGGGGTTAGTTTTGACTGCTCATATAAGGCTTTTAGGGATGCTTCGTGTCTTCATTGTGATTTCTATTCTTTTTCTGGTGTTTTTACTGGGTGGGTCGGGTTCAAGACTTTTGGGTTCGTGGTGTTGGATCGGTTGGGGACTTGGGAAATGTTTGGGTTTAGGGTTTCTGCCTTTTGGGGTCTGCGGATTGTGGTCTAAACCCTAAACCCGAAATAGAAACGAACGAAACCCTAAACCCTGAATGGGGCTTAGGTTCACTCGGTAGGGAGCGAGAGATGGAGGCTGCGAGGGCTTGCAGCTCTGGATGCAGGTAGGGCTTTAGGCTTAGAGTCCCAGGTAGCATTAGGGAGACCCCCTTAAAGGGTAATGTAGGAACCTGGTTTAGAAACCTTGCACCTTTATTAGAGTACCTTATATTACCCTTCTGAACCGTGCTTCTGGCTCTGTTTTGAGAAGGTCTATATCCCCAAAATTCCCCCTAATCCTAGCTCCTATATAGAGGCTTCCAGGGCTTATTGCGGCTTACTTCAGGTCGCAGGGTTAGGGTTTAGGGAGTGCTTGTAGCTCATTATAGCTCGGGGATGTCGGGCCCGTCACCATGGGCTTTAAGTTTAATCCAGGGGGCCTGAAGAAGTATCCTTGATACACTAAAAATAGAATAGAAATAATAGCAATAACAGTACACAAAAGCACCAATTCAGGATGCCCAGTAGTACCCTTATTCCCGTTTTGTAGTCCTATAGGTTCCTTATACAGTTACCCAATACCAAAAAAGGGAGCCCTTCTTTTTCCTACGTTACTGGCATCCTAGTAATTCTACTCAGTGGGGCCTCTACATTAGGGTGTAGGGAGAAATGATTGGAGTCGAAGCCTGAGGCGACAAGCCTATTAACGTAGGGGCCGAAAGGATTTATATTTCTATGGTTCCTTTAACGGGATCCTTAAATCCGTCCTTAAGGGATCTATAGTAGTGTTCTATGGTATAGGGGCCGAAATAGTTACCGATACTATTGTGGGGGGGCTCCTGGTTAGAATTATAGTACAATATAAGATGCCCCAAAACCTATTCTAATTCTGAAGGCCTCTACATTATAGTACCCTTATAGATCCCTCTTAGACCTTTTTTGACGGAACCCTTTAAAGGAACCCTATTCCAATTATGAAGACCCCTATATTAGAGGGTTCCTGAGACCGGAGCTCTGGGATCCGCTCATTTTTGTCGCATGAAAGTTCTCCTACGAATCCTGATACCATCCCCCCTTGAACCACACCCCTGTCAGGATCCAGAAATGAGGGCACGGCTTACGAGTTTTGTCTGTAGATCTGTCATCTTGTGACACAATACCGGGAGCGATCAGAGTCATCGTAACAGCAAAACATGCCGTTCTTCGGCCAACGGGAGTGCACCCCTGGCCAACCCAAAACACTACTAATTCGTAAACCCCTAAAGCCTCCCAGACCCCCTAATCCCAATCACCTCTGTCCGAAGCATTCAACTTCTCAACCCCTAAACCCCTAAACCCCTGAACCCCCGAACCCCAAACCCGAAACCCTAAACCCTAAACCCCTAAACCATTGGCCGCCCGCGCCCGGCGGCGGCCGGTACCACTGAACGCTACCGCTTCGAGATCTGCTTGCTTGGCCAAGCAGATCGAGTCTACCAGACCTGATTTGGCACTGCTAGCCATGGGGCACAATAGTAAAATTGGGTACCCTTATCTCCCAGCGCGAGAACCCTGGCGGGGACGGGACCTGGTAGAAAGAGCTTGACGAGCGACCCTGGCGGGTATGGCGGGCGACTCTGGCGGGGACGGCTGACGACCCTGGCGGGGACTTGGTGGACGGACGACTTTGGCGGGGACGGCGCGCGACCCTGGCGGGGACGGCGGGCAACCCTGGCAAGGACGGCGGACGACTCTGCTGTGACAGCAAAAGGGCCAAAAACAGCTTGGCAGACGACTCCGGAGGGGGACGGCGGACGACCCTGGCGGGGACTTGGCGACTCTGACAGGGACTGAAAAAGCCAAAAACAGCTTGCAGACGACTCTGGAGGGGATGGCGCCTTATCTCCCAGCGCGAGAACCTTGGCGGGGACGGGACCTGGAAGAAAGAGCTTGACGAGCGACCCTGGCGGGGATGGCGAGTCCTCTGGCGGGGACGGCTGACGACCCTGGCGGGGAATCCCCTACTTGTTCCCTACGGTTAAGGTGGGGGGAGGGTACCGCCTGCAACGTTGCAGCGGCCAGGGTTGTAGGGGGGGGGGGGCAGGATTCTGCAACTTAAGACGTTGGAGCGTGGAAAGTTGCAGTCTAGCTTGTCTCCATCTAAGATCATTTAAGGATGTCGACCAACTTTTGATTGCAGGCCCGACCCCCCCCCCACCGAATCAGCTAGGATTCTGCATATGCCGCAGATACCATCAGATCCCCCCCCCCCCCTCTAGAGAAGATTGGCGTGCCTCGGATCGCTCGTACCCGCAGGCATTTTGCCTCATTGTGTACATGATGTCACATGGTCACAGCGGCAGGAAGCAGTTTGCAGCAGTCCCTTGATTTGTATATTGTATTTCGTCAAGCCACAATTACGGCACAGGGGGACGTGGCAAGCCACTTTTACGGCATTGGGCTTTAGCGGACACTACCCAAGCTAACATGTACGATTAAGCCATTATGACGGCACTGGGGGGATGGTGCAAGCCACCTTTTCGGCACTGGGTCTTAGCAGATATCACGTAAACTAGCATACTCGATTAAGCCATTAGGACGGCACTTGGGGGACGTTGCAAGCCACATTTTCGGCACTGGGTTTTAGCACGCATCATCTAAATTAGCACATTGGGACAGCAGCACATCACGACATGACCGGATGGCGAATCCTGTACAAAACCCGGTTGACCTCCGGTGGGGATTGTTGGGCCCTCGGTTCGCGGAGCTATCGTTACGTATCTGCTTGTATGCCTGTGTGTGCCTGCTGAGTTTACTACAAGTACATTGACGGTGCTGGCAAAAGCTCGCCGAAGTTCGACAGCCTTACGAAGGATCGTCGTGTGCTCTGGTTCTTCTGGTGTGCGTTTCCTCGGATGCAGGCAGGAAAGTGGTCTTTGGATCGTGGATTCCCTGGCGCCTGGCACTTATGTTCGTCGTGGTTCTCGGCTATGTAGCGGTTTACGGGTCTCTGAGGTTCCGGTGGAGTTCCGTGCGATGGCAAAGCAGCAGCCGGATGAGTGGTTGGTGGGTCCCTAAGTTTGCAGGCGTTTGGAAAGTTCCTTTTTTTTGGTGTCGTGCGACAGGTCTGTGCAGCAGCTCAGCCGTCTGGCATCCCAGATGCTGGCTGCTCAGATAGGGAATGCATGGCCTGGGATCGCAACCCCAGAAACCCCAGATTCGAACAGTCCTGCCAGGATGGAGCTGGCATGCGAGACGGTTCCAAGGTGCACCAGGGATACAGGATTTGAGGCTAAGGGTTGGGGTTCCACGGAGTTTGTGGTTTTGAGTTTCGGGTTAGGGCTCCGATCGTGACCCTTGTGTTTTGGGAAGCAGCCAATTTCAGCCCCGCAAACCTCCCTCAGCCCCGAACATTCCTGCCAGGATCGAGGAGCTGAGATTGAGAAGCACGTTGAGCCACAGGTGCGCCGGGGATGGGTTTTGAGTTTCGGGTTAGGGCTCGACCAGTCAGTTTGAGTATAAGAGCCGCGATCGATGCAGATTCCCGAACCCGTTGCTCCCAGGTTGCGGATCCTTGCCCAGATGCTGCGGCTTCGGCAGAGCAGGCCGGGGTTAAGGGTTGTGGGCTCGGTTTGGTTCGTGGGTCGACTGTTCGGATCCGGGAAAAGTTTGAGTAACAAGCCATGGAAACTAGAGCACATCGGCCTGCCAGGATCCAGATGGTAGCCAGAAGCCGGCGGAAGCTGAGGTGCGCCCGGGGTTCAGGAGTTCGGGGCTTCGTGGTTAGGGTTCCGAAGCTCTGCTGACATGTGCCGACGGTAGTGCTGTGCAGGATCAGTTGATTGTTTCATGTGGAGCAAAGCAGGGGAAAGCTTGCTTGATTGTGATTATCGGTTCAATCACATGGCCTATGGATCCTTGGAGACATTGGGGCCCTAGGTCAAGCATTGACATGGTCCAAGCAGGTGAAGCATTGCTGTAAACAGTGAACACACGGCTTATCCTAGATTCCTCGTGATTTGACCCTGCCGATCTGATGGGCCTGTGATCGCCTGGAGTTCGACCTGCCTTTTTTTACGTGACGAAGGATGCCGGCGGCCAAAAGGCCGGCAGCGGGCCCCAAGGTTGCGATGAAGGCCATGAAGGCGATGAAGTCCATGAAGGCGATGAGTGCCATGAAGAGTATGCCGGCGGCCAAAAGGCCGGCAGCGGGCCCCAAGGTTGCGATGAAGGCCATGAAGGCGATGAAGTCCATGAAGGCGATGAGTGCCATGAAGAGTATGCCGGCGATGAAGGCCATGAAGGCTGCAGGGGCGAAAGCGATGAAGGCAATGACGTCTACGAAGGCGATGAAGGCCATGAAAAAGCCTGCAGCCAAGCCAGATTGGTGTGACTCTGACAAGAACGATGACAGGAAGAAAGATGGCGACAAGAAGCCGGACGATGACAGGAAGAAAGATGATGGCCTGATGAAGTGCGGAGAGGCCTCGTTCGTGAGTGGCCTTCGGCTGTATGGACCGCACTGGCTGAACGAGCCGGACAAGGTGGATGCAGTGCAGGTGGTTGAGGGCGAGCCGGTGTGCGAATTTGGCATCAAGCTGAGTTCGACAGTCGCAGATCTGCTGGCAATGGGGCAGCAGGCGGGATGCGGCTCCACTCGCCTGAAAGCCCATGGCATATGTGTGCACTGCTTCGAGGTCTGAGATGGTCTGAGGGTTCGTCAATCTGAGCAGTGCATCTTGCGAGTGCTGTGATGTAAGTAGCACCACAGCAGCAGCAC